GGTCAGTCTGGTGGGAGACATTTTTCTGCAGCTGTCAGGAGAGGAATCAACAGAGACAGAATAGCAGTCATGAACACCAGCCACCACTTTTCCTAAGCACCTTTCATCGTTACTCCACAGAGTCAAGATGGAAGGTTCCTAAATGCAGCCACTTGTGGGGTTAAAACAAGGCCCCGGAAACAATCTAGATCATGCAGGTAGATGATGCAAGGTGTATGGGCACGGCTATAAATCTATTCTTATATGGGAACTATTGCTTCTCTGAAATCAGGGCTGAGTCTTTGCAGCTCATTTAATTACTGATGTATTTCCAGTAGGATTAAATGGATGTCTGAGTGTGTGTTAGCATATGTTAGGATATGCTATGCTGATAAATATCTGTGCCTTTGTATGCCTCCAGATAGGCATGTTCTGTATATTTACAATAACTGATTTAGTGTCATACAAAGTTGAAGACAAAAGGAAGGAGAGTATTATTGATCCAGCCTTGTGCCTTTTGGGGATCGTGAACCCTAGGTTTGCTGCAGAGCATTAGGGCTGGTCATAGTGAAGAGCGAGCACCAGTTGTGGGAGAGAATGAATCTGCAGGTGGATGCAGGTAGTTGCAGAAGGTACTGAGTGACTGTAGCCATAGACTGTTCCTGCATCAGCCATGCCAAGAAGCAAATGGAATAAATAAAGGAGTTCATGGGCCTGATGTCCAAGAATCATTCTTTTTCTCTCTTTCTCTGTCTGAGAAGTACACTTATATTCATGTCTTTCCACTTTATTGCAGGGCTGCAAGCTCAGACTGTCTTAGTCAATGACACAGTCTCGGGGTTTATCGGGACAGACGTGGTCCTGCACTGCAGCTTCACCAATCCACTCCCCAATGTGAAGATCACACAGGTCACGTGGCAGAAAGCCACCAACGGCTCCAAGCAGAATGTGGCCATCTACAACCCTGCCATGGGGGTCTCCATTCTCTCTCCATACAAAGAGCGGGTGACTTTCCGGAATCCTTCCTTCAAAGATGGCACCATTCAGCTCTCTCGGCTAGAGCTGGAAGATGAGGGAGTTTACATCTGTGAGTTTGCTACCTTCCCAACTGGCAACCGGGAAAGTCAACTGAACCTCACTGTGCTGGGTAAGATACTGGACAAGCTTTGTAGTGTGAACCATTGCCTCCAGTTAAACAGATCTGGAGGAACCTGAGACTCATGTCCTAGGAACTCAGGGTGAAGGCAAATCTTGGGTGTAAATTTTACCTATGATGATCTTTCAAGTTGACTGTAAAGAGCAGGGAACCCTGGGTAGGTGGTTCACTGGACTACCTCAGGAACACCTCTTCCTCTTTCCAGGCCTCAGTTCCCCTATCTCGTAGTGACCTGTTCCCTAAGGGAGTGGTCAGTTTTAATGAGCTGGTGGCTGTCAAGTGAACAGAGAGAAAAGGCAACAGAGAGACCCTAAGCACAAGCAGAGCTTGTCCATGGAGCGTAGGGTTGTGAGTGAATAGACCCCACCCAAGGTCTGCATGATTCATTTGCTCTCCAATTTTGGTTTCTCATTCTAATGTAGGGTTGAAAACCTATGGCAGGAAAGGACTGACTTTCCATTGTGAATCTGTGCATCTAAGGGCACCTCAAATTCTTTCCCCAGAGTAGGTTGCTGGCAATTTGCAGCAGCTCTGGATTCCCCACAAGGTCTGTCACAGGCTCAGTGGTGCTAGATGTCTCTTGGGTTGTAGTAGAGAGGATAGCACTGCTTTTCTAACCATCCTTTTGTACCCTTTTCTTCTCCTCCTCCTCCTCCTTTTTTGCAATTTCTTGCAGCCAAGCCCACAAATCGGATGGAGGGCACCAAGCGGCCACTTATCGCTAAGTCTGGCAGGACAGAAAAGATCTTGGTAGCTACCTGTACCTCCTCTAACGGAAAGCCCCCCAGCACTGTCACCTGGGACACCAAGCTCAAAGGGGAAGCGGAGTTTCAGGAGATCCGGAATAGCAATGGCACTATCACAGTGATCAGCCGGTATCGGCTGGGGGGGGGGGGCGCGGGCGCCCCGCGCCAGCCCACCCGGTCGGCGGGTGCGGAGCCGCGAGGCCCACCGGCAACAGCTCATGTGTGTGGTCAATTACCAGCTGGACCGCTTCACCGACAGCATGACCCTCAATGTGCAGTGTAAGTGAGCGTGGGCAGGGCTGGAGAGCAACGCTCTGTCGTCAGGCCCTGGGGTGGGTGATAAAGTGTGGCAAAAGAGGATTTTTCTGAAGGGAAGATGTTGGTCTGATGGAAGGGTTGAAGTGGGGAACTGCTCTCTTTTTCTGGAGAGTGAAAAACTGAAGTGATCCCTTGGAATGATCATATGCTTTCCCTTTTTCATACCTTCTTTCTCTCTCTGTTTCTGCTGTGTCTCTTTGTTCTTCCCCTTCTCTCTCTCCTTCATTCACCCTCTCTCATATTCCTTGTCCCACCTTGCAATGTCTCTCCTTCTCCCATCCCTGCCTCCTCATCTCTTCCTATTTCATTTTCTCCCCCTTCCTTTTCCATAACGCTTTCCTCTCCTTTTCCATCTTTTTTCCTATCTTTTTCGTCCCTCTGCAGATGAGCCAGAAGTCACTATTGAGGGCTTTGATGGCAACTGGTTTCTCAACCGGAAGGATGTGAAGCTGATATGCAAATCTGATGCCAACCCCCCAGCTCACACCTATGAATGGAAGCTGTAAGTGCCTACAGTGCTTCTGCTCTCAGCAGCACGTACGATCTTTGAACAGGGCCAAGGAGCCTCCGTACAAACCTCAGTCACCCTCTGGGAAATCAGGGCCCGGTCCCATTACTGTCAGTAGTGTCACTCCAAAGTAAAACCCGTGCATGTGAGGAGAGAGTTGGACACTTGTAGTTGCTGGAGTTGTGCTCCTGCAGAATGCTTAGAGCTGATTCTGGTTCCCTGGCACAGCTCTGCCAGGAGGCCTTCGTTGCACAGGGACTGCAACTTATTTCTTTATTTGCAAACCAGGGAAGCTGCTGTCTTCAGCCTTGGCCTTTCTGGCTCAGCACTTCCTGCGCTGGCCATCCTCTGAAGCTGAGTTTGTCAGATCCAAAACAAGGCTTGCTGCTTTGCCAGCCCTGCCGAGAGGGCAGCCTGTGGTTTTGAGGCAGGCAGTGCAGTGTTTGAAGCAACTAGGGCAAGAGACTTGTTTTGGGTGGATGGGCTTTATCGGAAGTTTCATGTGGCCTATGGCCCCAGCTGACACAGCTGGGACTAGCATTTTACTTGAACCACCAGCCATCTCACCTTGTGATAGACAGAGCTTATCCCCTGTCTTTCAGCTGGGTCTTCGCCCAGCATCTTCCAGCTGAGACTCAGGAGGGAAGGGCAGTAAGGATCACACGCACCCTCTCTCCACCGGGCCAGGATGGAGCTTGCTGCCAGCTCAGTGCAGCCGTGGTATCCGGGGTAACTTCGTATTCCTGTTCCACTGGAATAATATTCTACCCTGGTGACACGTGAGGGAGGCAGCTGAGATATGACAAGGTCAGTAATTTGCCCAGCACCGCTAAGTGCTTCGATACCAGAGCTGGAAAAGGACCCAGGATTTCCCTTCCGTAAAGGGGCACAAGTAGCACAAAATTAATCTGCACACAAAAAAACCTTTCCCTGGAATCAGCCCCAGCTATAAGCAGGAGCTCCCCTTCAGAGGACTCATCCCCACGTGACTGACGTTAAACAGAAGCAATTCCTTGTCCTCCAGGGTTTCAGCTTTTGGCTGAACACACTAAAGGGACTGAAAAGTGAGCAAGGGGTATCTGGGCAGTCAGGTGGGAATTGATGCAATCCGCGGTGGTTCTCTCTCCCTCTCTTTCTTTTCTATAAACACTCATGTAGCTTTAAAAAGGAAAGATCAAATGGATCCGTTCTTCTTTTCAGCTGGCATTTGTCATCAGGAAAGAAGCTCTCAAAATGGCTTTGCAAGGAGCTGGGCATATTCTCTCTCATTTTGATTCCCAGATCAAACTGTTCACAGTGAAAGTCTGAAGAGGATTGTTTTTCTTGCCTTTTTTCTAGTTCTCGTCCTCAGCTCTCTCCCTCTGTTGGTTCTGCCAGTTCAAGTTAAGCTCCAAGGGGGCTCTCTGGGTTCCTCACAACATTGCCAGGAAAGCGTTCGAGGCAAAGATGCCCCTCGTGGCACTCAAGGCAGAAGAGATGCCAGTTTAGGCTATCTGTGTGTAGCAGGGCTGGCAAATGGAGCTGAAGCGAGCCTTGTGAGATGGAGCTGGGGACAGGAGGCAGATTTTCTCTCTGCTTTTGGGCAATTCATTTCATCCCTTTGTTCTGCTATTGCTCACATGCGGAGCTGAAGTCTGAGCACTTGCTGAGCTCCTGGGCATCACGCTCTCTGTGGCAGGAGCTCTGTTGCTGTGTACAGACACAGCCACCAGCACAAGCGGCCCCGATCTCTGTTGGGGCAGTCTGCTCCCGCCGTGACAGTGATGCTGAAGGCAGGCTGAGAGATGAAGCACGGGGTAACCAGGTGCCGAAAGTCTCAGCCAGGTGATGTTTCTGTAGCCCAGGGCGGGAAAGAGGGTTAGTTACCAACTAGACTCAAACACAACAGGGGATGCAGGTGTCAGGGCTGAGCATGGCGCTGCATGACTGAGTCTGAATACGACGTGTCGTTTGCACACCTGGTTTACACACTGCGCTGGTAATAAATTCAGCTCTGGCAGAAATTATTCTTGGGCACAGCACATCTTTGAGCCGGGCACTGAGTTGGTCCCTATGTGCTTGTGTGATTGATGATTTTTTAATTATTTTTTTTTTAACACTGGAAAGAGTTGTTTTCCTATGGATTCTCTGTGAGCTATGTGTACGTCCATTTTTCTATCTTTAGCCTGAAAGGGTTTCTTGACTTACAGAGAGGCTGGGAGCATCAATACTTTGCTTTGAGAAGGAACCGTGGGGAGAAAAATGGAGAGAGAGAAAGCATAGAATTAAAGAGTGCACGTTTCTAAGCCCGATGGCGCCTCAGTCCAATTCCCCAGCCTCTCCCTTTTTGCACACTTGGGTGGACAGTTAGGACTGATTATAGGATTATTGACCTGAGGGAGGATGGAAAGGAAAGATGGAGTGCAGCCGAAGGTAAGGAGAATGGAGGCAGAAGAAGATGAAAGTAGGGAGTGAGAGAGAGCAAGTGAGACTGCAGGAGGCAGAGGTGGAAAGGGAGGAGGAAGAAAAAGCTGGGGCGCAGAATTGCCCCCTGGCTCTTTCAGCCCAGACTCCTGCTCTCCCACTCTTGGCTCCAGGCTGCCTGTGAGCTGGGCCCTCCGAGGAAGAGGCAGACCACGCAGATGGGATGAAAGCCTGATAAATAACTGTACTGCGGCCAACCACCTAGGCACGTGGCGCGTGCGTGTATAGGGAGGTAAGGAATGGGAATAAGTTCTATGGCCATCCCCTTCCTTCCCACAGTGCCACCTTGGTAATATCAAACTGATTCCTCATTTCTTTGGCTGGGCAGCCAGAGAAACAGCCGCCAGCATCTTTGGTTTATCCATGTGCTCATATGTGCTGCCTCCCCTTCCTGGGGGCCGGGAAGCAATTACTGCTGATGATGTTTTGCTCCTGCCTGGAATGTAAAAAGCAGCCATGCTTTCCTCTCCTCTTATTTGGATGGTGATGTGCAACAGTCAGGGGAGCTGTCAGAGGACGCGATAGCCGCCTTTAGCATCCCACAGCCCTGTTTTTAGATGGGCCCTTGTCTTTGTAGACTCAGGGCCCTATAGGCAGAGGCCCAACATTAGGCTGTTCTATTCTTCCATCAGCTTTGGGATCAGTGGCTTGATGTAGCTGGGAAAGACTGATGTGTTTGCTATACTTGCGTGCCTATGTGTATAAGTAGACATGCAAAATATGTGCATGTGCACTTAGACACTTCTTTACAAACCTAATTATAGCCCCATTATTCCCTTTTGTTTCTTACAAATTGCTGACAATATGTGCACATTTTTGTTGGGAGGAGGGGAAAGAATTACTTGAGTAATTTTTAATTGCCTAAGAGAAGTAATTACTTTACTTTGCTTCAGTAATTAAGAATAACCAGGCCACGTGTGTCTCTTTCTAGCACACAGGGTTTTTAAAAATTTTTATCTGCCTTTGTTCATATATTCTGTGTATCGCTAGACTTAGTTTTGTATTATTCCAGTTTCACATTGATCTGACTATTCTGACATGAGAGGTCGTAGATGGCAGGGCTCTAAATCAGCACGGCTTTCCTCGAGCTTCAGTTGCAATTAACACTGGCTGATCAGCTGCCCAGGAGAGGTACGTGGGCAGGAAATTGGAGTAAAGCAGGGTCAGGTTGGTGTCCCATTCCTGTGTTTTCCATCAAGTGGAAAGTCAGAGATGGAGGAATACTCTGAAGATGAGCTTGCCAGAGGTGAACCACCCAAAACAAAAGAGTGAGCTGGCCGTCTTACCCTAAGCTTGCACCTACTCGGGGATTGTGCTGGAAAATGAACCACTTTAAGGCTCTGAGTCTGCTTTCTGGATAGGGGAGAACATAGACTGAAAGCGCTCCACATCCCGTTAGCCAAATCCAAGGAACTGTACGTGACCCAAATATGTCCGATCTCCCTTGTAATCACAGAGAAGGAAAAAAACCCCAACAATCCATGTAGAGAACCTGATTCCCATCGTGCAATGGATTTACCCTGGAGACACTCTGCTGTCTCTTTCCCGTAGTGCTTCTGTTTGAGGGTTTGGTTTCAAGGCTGACCACATTAATGGGTATTTTCCAGCCAGCACTACTGGGTTCTGGACCTGCCCAAGGGCAAGCGCAGAACCAACACGTCAGTGTCACCTCTGTGATACTGCTTGACCCTACTGAGTATCATGTCTAGGGTGAACCGTGATCTTTGTTTCCCCTAGGCCAAATGGGACTCTGCCAGGGAGTGTGGAAATCCAGAACAACACCATCTACTTTAAAGGGCCTGTCTCCTACAGCGTGGCTGGCACCTACATCTGTGAGGCCTCCAACGCCATCGGTACACGGTCGGGCTTGGTGGAAGTCAATGTCACAGGTAGGAAAACACTTGGTGTGCTTTGAAAGATAGAAGAGGAGGAGGTGGGGAGGGGAGAGCGTGAGCTACTGACATCTCCTTAATGTCTCTCTAAATCGCCAGTGTCTCCTTCTGGGGGGGGGGGGGGAGTTTCACGGTGCAAAGGGAGCAGTGAAGTTCTTTGCTTTGCACTGGTTTTGCACTGGTTTGGCTTGGATTTTCTCCTTTCCTCTTGTTGTCTTTCCTTTCTTACACCAAGATACATTCAATTCGTTTCCCCCTTATCTTCTGCTTTGGATTCAGAGAGATCAGTGGACATGTTAAAAGCAAAGACATGTCAGGGAGATATTTGTTAGAAGGTAGAAGAAGGAGTAGGATGAGGCTATAGACTGCCACTGAGGCAGTAAAGCGTGAGATATGGATGAGTCATTTGTTCAGGATGACATTTGGTGTTTCTGATGTTAGGCAATTCTCATGATTTTTCATTTGCGCTCCTTCCAATGCCATGCTGGTCTGGGCACTTGCTCACCTGGCTGCCACAGATTACCGAGAGGCTGTGAGCACTTGGGTAGCTTTGTCGGGGCTCCAGCAAGGAATAACATCACAGGATGCAGACAATGGGGAGTGATGATATGTGATGTCATATGGGACAGGAGGAGTTTGACAAGTTGCAAATCAGTGTAACCACAGGAGTGAGGAAAAGATGTGGATATGCTTAGGTAGCGTCAGGGAGAGAAAGTGGTATCAGGAAACAGGTTCAACAGAAGAAATAACATACGGTGATTTCAGAGAGACAAAATGATATTGCAGGGCATCACCGAAGGGTAAAAGTGGCTGTTGGTGCTTTGAGAGCAGGGAAGGGAAGCTTACCCCGTTCCTTTGGGGTAAAAGAGGCGATTCGTTTTATCGGTGGGTAAATGACAGGCAGTGACCAGCAGTTGTGGGTCTCACGAGAGAGATGGAAGTACCTCTTGCAGCAGTTGAGTCGGAGCGCTGCCACACTGCAACGAGCTCTGGGGTCTCAGGGGACAGAGGAGGGGGTGCCCAGAGGAGGAAGCAGCGCTGCCTGCCTGGGAGATGTGCCTGGCAGCTGGGGCAACTCGCCGAGGCTCCCCTCTGGCCCCCCTTAGAGCTGGACGGGCAGTGAGGCGTACTGGGGGCTCCCCAAGGGGTGGGAAATACGGGACAGGTTCCTGAGGTTGTTAGCCCTTCCTGCTGTCCAGCCTGACGGAAGTCACAGCAGCTGCTGTTCTGATAGCCGGCCACCTCTCTGAGCCACCCCAGGCCTGGGAGAGGTGTCTAACCTGGGAGTGATGAAACGGGCTTCTCAGAAGGGCTGAGCTCCAGCCTCCTCCACTCGCTCCCTGCAGCGGTAAGTGCTGAGCAAGCGTAAAGACGCGGCCCGGGCAGCTGACCTCCTGAAATTAGCAACAGCACTGTGTTTGGCACCCTCACCACCTCGGTTCCCCTCTTCTGTTACATGGGTAAACCAGGCTAATCTTCCTCTATCCAGGTGCTTGGAGGTCAATGGATGGGATGTGCTAATTAGATGCTAATTACTGAGTATTTATTTATGATCATTATCACTGCAGCAGGCCTTTAATTCACACCTCCTGTCCTGGATCCTTGCCTGCTGAGTTGTTCCCAGTGTATACTTTTCTCTGGGGGATTTTTCATTTGCCAGTGAAAGGCACCAGCGTAACAAAGCTCGTTGTTCAGGAGGGACGTGGCGCAGCACCCGCCCTGCCCGGCTCTACCCAACCACCCGAAGCCAGGAGAAGGTCATGGCCAAAATCCATTCAGCCGCTGGCCATCTTATGGGAGTTACCAGCAAAGGCACTGTGTTTCTGGGACGGTGCAGGCAACTGCCTGGTACAAACTGAGCAGACTCGCTTCCCATCAGCAACAGAAAACCATCCCACGCAGTAACTAGCACCTTGGGTCACATTTGAAACAGTGATCAGAGGGAAGAAGCCTCTGAGCTCAGTCCCCAGTCACAGAGAAGGGGGTGGGACAGGTATTGCAGAAGACTTAGAGAGGAACAGGCTGTCCTCACCATGTCTCGTTTTCCATTTCTGCATAACCTGTACGTCCATTTCTTGCTGTCATTCTGTCTCTCCGACCACCCTGCATCTCTTGCGCTGTCAGGACACATGTTCCCAAACACCAGATACAGCCCTCTCTTCATGTTTCCTGCTGCCACCTGCCAGCGTTTTCTCTGTCTCAGGGCCACGACAGCAGCGCAGGCTGGGGCTGCACCGACTCGCCTGCTTGGGCACGGGCTCCTCTAGCGACGAGGGTCTGTCGGTTCCCCCTCTGGGCTTCGGTAGCTGTGTCCCTTCCTGGCATTTTTTTGAGGAGACTGGTAGGGCATCATTCTCGTGCTCAATCAGCGCCATGCTGGCAAGGGAAACGGGGACTGGCAGGATTTCTGGGGAATGACTTTGGGTTGGTGTCTGCCTGCCTGTAATCTCCATTTATTCCCAAAGGTCCGAATTGTGGGGTTGAGGTTAAATGAGAGGGAAGGAGGGGCGCACCAGCAGCTGCCCCGCCAAGGAGGGATTAGCAGCCAAGCCGTTAGACCAGGGCTCCACCACATAAAAAAACCCGCTTTTAATAATTCATGGGATCTGAATATGTTTATCCAGCTCTCCCTGAGGACCGATTAGGCCAGTGCTGGGGAGGGCTCAGCCGTTCTCGCTCGGCTATTACAGGTACATTTGTTTGGGTCTTGCAGGCAATTTAGGGATTGTCAGTGGACCACGAAACCTCTTTCAAGAGCTGCGCGCAATAAATGGAGTTCAATCTAGTGAGCAGCCAGCCTTGGGAGAAAAAAAAGCCAGAAGGCTGATGCGGAGAAAACCCTGCAGCCACTTTTCCCCTCCCATCTGCCCTGGGTAGAGACGTCCCTCCTCCTGCCACCCAGCATCCTTCCTCCCAGCCCCGGCCCCGGGAGAGGAGGAGTGCAGGGCTAGTTCAGCCCTCTCATGGGGAGGGCGATTTGTTCAGGTGGAGAAGGCTGAACATTTCTATTAGAGTTATAGCGCATTAAAGAGATTGATAAGTGGAAATTTAATATTTTATTCCTGCAATCTGTTCCTATAATAGCTTCTCCTGCCTTGCAGGACCTCTGTCAGTCGCAGCCAAGCCATGTAGTGTGACATGTAACTATTTATTACAGGCGGTTGGGTGACATAATAAAAGGCTGTGGCTATAGAGCGCTTGGGCCTGCACGCGTGTCCCTGCATGCCTGCACACGGGTGCGGTGGGCCGGCACAGAGAGGTGGTCATGTACATACACACGTATGTGTGACCCTGAGCTGCATCCCGGCACACAAATAGGCCTCCCAAATCTGCATGCCTGCAGAGGGATGCCCCGCTGCACAGTCACGTGTGCATGCAGGGCGCGAAAGCATCAGGGCATTAGCATGTGTGAATATGCATGTATTTATGGCGACGTGCTTGGCTGTATGTGCCTGTGTGCAGCAGGGCGTATACATACCCTGGCCCTTGCGCACACCTGTGTGCGTGTACATTTGTGTGTGTATGCAGGGGGATGTTCAGGCACTTATGATGTACTGGCTTCAGCCAGAGGAAGCACAAGGAAAAAGACGTTAAAACATTTCATCTCCCCGTGGGCCTTCAAGCGCCAGCCAAACATCAAAGCCGAACGAGACTCGTGGTGCTAGAGCTGGGGGAGCAGGGAGACCAGAGCCTGTGCTGAGGCAGTGACCGCCCCGCCTGTTTCCCGAGGCCGAGGAAGGGGTCTTTTCCTCCAGGATACCGCAGGCTCCCCCGGTCGTTTGCTTGGCATAGCCCCACCTCCGCACCCCCGTACTTCCAGGAGACGGGACGCGATGTGCAGGGAGGAAGGGGCTGTGAGGGCTCTGTGCCGACCCCTGCCCAGCGCCGTGCCAGTCCCTGGGCAGGTGGCTTTGCAGCCCTGGCCTCGGATGTGCTACAGGCTGTGGGGAGGAGGAGGAGAGCCTGGCAGCGCTGACGGCCTCCCCGTTTGCTTGGCTTGCAGCAGGGAGTTACTTACACACCACTAGCGATCTCGTCCCAGCAAGGTCACTGCAAACAGCCCGTGGGGCTCGCTGGAACCCTCTGCCATGCAGCAGCAGGCCTTTGCTACAGGCTCCGAGCGCAAGAGAAAGCCCATTCTGGGAAGCGTTAAATGCCGAGCGCAGAGCAGGTGCACCCAAAGCCCAGCCGCCGGCAAGGACCGTACCATGCTGCACCAGCCACGTGCTTCTGGCTGCTGTAGGTGGGAGGACATAGGGCAGGGGGCTAAAGAGGAGCAAGCCGGGGGGCTCTGTCTGATGCTAATCTTCTGGATAGCAGGTAGGAGTGTCTGCTGCATCCTGTCTGATGGCATCTGTGCCAACGGCCCCCGCAGGAGCAGCACTTGATTGATGAGCGATAGGTGACCCGACAGAGAGATTAAAACCTAAGACACGTTTGGCATCTGGCCTAAAAGTTGTCACGCTCTGAAATGCCAGTGGCAGCTGCTAAACTTCTGGATTAGTTGCCAGTGGTTTTTCTACCCCCACCGCCTCCTCTCCCCCCAGACCCTGCTGTGCACGAGGAGAGCAGAAATCCCTGGTAGGGAGAGGAAAGGCAGGATCCCTCGAAGCTAGAGATGGGGCGTGCATAGAGGTGCAAGGGCTGTTGTGAAGGAAGAAGGACAGCAGTGCTACGGTCTTCTCAAATGGCAGCCCTGTCCGGGCTGAAGCAGGTCCGTACGGAAGTATCTCCGTATCTTCACCCATGTACACCTCTGTAACAGAGCGGGTCAAAGTCCTAGGATAATTTGGCATGGGCTGTACTGGCAGGGAAATTTTGCCATCAGCAATCTGTCTCTTAAAAAAACCCCCACGCCTTACCACTGTGTTTGCTGAGGCCATCTGGGAACTGGGAAGCTCCATGAGCCCATTGACTTTAAGGTTCCTGCCGCTCGCCCTGGCTAGAGCCACCCAAAGGCCCCTCTGCTTCCTCTTGCAGCAGGTGTTTGATTTTGC